TAACGTGGCATTAGGCCTCTGCTGTACATTTTTCTTTTGTTTTTTTTCTCCTGACATGTCACTGGTAAATCACTTTACATCAAAGACATCCATATTGCATGCTTTTATCTGCGCTGGGCGAACCCAGATATTTCAGACGTGACAGTTAATAAGGATCCCCAACATTATTCATAACCTTGTCATTTAGAGAAAGGGCGTAGCGGCGCAGTGTGTGAAATACTAACACACAGAGAATCGGATCTGCAACACTACTGAGTGTTTTTATGGGCTTGGAAATTAATAAGGTGGCCTTTGGCTTAAATAAACACAAATCATGAGGGACCTTTATTCGGGGCGTGGTCTGCACACCTTCTCTGAGACTGTTAAACGTATGGCCTTTCAGAACAGAACATAAAACGAAATCCAGTCAGAACAAGCTCTGTTTGCATAATGTTGTTTCTCCAAGATTTTTATTTACTGCACTTTTTCATTCAGCCTCCTGTGTTCTGTGGTTTGATTCTCGATAGGGTACTACATCAGGATACATGGCTCATTCTAGCATCTCATGCTAATTTCAAAATGTGGAGTGTTACATAGACTAGCATTAACTTTAGCAGTGTTGACAGTACAAATATACCTCCAATCCAAATATAGAAATCATTACAAATTAATTAATTAATTGTGTGGTGCTTGATGGCATAAAAATTTCACACGGTATCTTCGGCTGGTTAATATGTGCATGTAGGGATCTGGCTTGTTTCCATTCCGTTTTCTGGATGAAATGATGACGATTAGCCCTCTTGTGGCAAGGCCTTTGAATGGCATAGACGTTAGTATGGGCTTTGCCTGTCTCAGGTCTGTGAGAATTCCCTTCTAATTGGTTATGTTGTCTGTCATAATTACAGTAGTATGAATCCATGTATGGATATTATGAATCTGTACATGTAACTGTGGCCCAACCAATACACGCATCTTCAGTTTCATTTGATGTTTTGTTTAAAGTGACGTCACATTTGATTTTGGCAAGACAGTGAACGGAACGATGTGGCAGAGGGACAGGAGACTGGGGATGAAGGGATGGGGGATGAAATGAAAACAGAAAATAAAACAACACAGGCGGCTGGCCCTCTCACACGCAAAAACACAGGAAAACATTATTACACAGGCATAGTAGGTGCCTTCTTATCAAATTCATGCTTCAGTATTAAGCAAAGAACTAATCCAGTCACTGGCCTTATTGGCCCAGGCACTTAGTTCATATCAATAGGCACATGAGTCCAGATTGGACAGAGTCAATATCTGAAATCCATTTTGTCAATATGACGAGCAAGCGCTCATTTCACATTGATCACCAGGTGCAGGATGCAGCCCATTATATACACTTTGCATCTCGGCTACCCCAGGCACTGAAACGTATTGATCCCCAGGCTGAAATAACTGCTTACCACAATTATTCTGTATAATTCTTTGTGCCTAAGAGATGTTAGGCGGCATGCACATTATGTTCAAGCAGAAAACTTCTTAAAAAGTACAACGTATTAAGATGCAAAGTCTGCCAAGCCAATTGATGATTCTACAAACCATTAACGTCAATAAGAAAAACATAACATCTAACATCTCATGAAGCAGTAAAATGTTCATCCATCCATCTACTCATTCTTCCATATTATTAGATACTAATTTTTGCATGATGTTGTTGGATTTCTGTGAATGTTTTAGCCTGAAAGGTGCTATATCAGAATATAGTCTCACACTAGTACTGATGTTTATTTGGTAAAAAAAAAAACACTGGAATGTTAGATGTGTGTAATCAACAATCTGATGCAATTTCTTCACTGTGCCCTTTTGTGAGGATATTAACCTGAATAGCATGTAACCAAATGCGTAAGTGTCAAAACATTCATTTTTCACTGGTTGTGTAATGGTTGAGAAAACTGATATATGATCCAAAGGTTGATGTTCCTTATAAGGCGCGGTGGAGGGGGGGGTCTTCAGGAAAGTAGATAAAAGAATATCTGCAGTCAAATAGCTGGTTATTTAAACCATAAAAATCTCCAACTAACACTGTTCACTTTGTAAGAATCTAATGAGCTATTAAGTTAATTATTATATTAAGTCAGTTGAATTTGAAAATGCTGTATTGTTAAGACTATCTATTGAATGGAACATGATCTTGGACTTATTCATATCAAAGAGCACCACAGTTACTCACAGCTGTCGTATTAACAGCTCATGTTATTCACTTTAGGAATAAACAGAGTCTCTGCAGTCAGAGCTCATATTCTCAGCCTCATGCATTATTCAGAGAACACCTTTCTGTACACAGAAACTCAAAATGATTACACAGATGTCACTGAGACCCATCAGGAAGATGCATTATTTTTGCAAAAAAAAAGAGGATTCTATAACAGAATGCGTGCACAACACCCCCAAGGAAGCCATGCATGAAAGATCCACTGACAAAACAGAAACGGCAACTAGTGAGTTCAAGCCCAATTGAGGGTGAAATTCATCTCAGAAACTTATGCTCTCTTTTTCTCTCTAGCAGGGAAAAGACATTTGTGAAGTGTGTCCAGAAAAATGAGGGAATGTACTGGGTTATGAAGGAACTGAGTGAAGCATGTATCATGGAGAATCCCCAGATGCCTGAAAGACGACATGTTGACACACTCTGAATCTGACGTTTTACAGCTTTCTGCTTATTGTGTGACTACATTAGATAATTTTTTAATGTAGCATATCACAATTCTTTAAAAGAAAAGACTACATAATATGCTGGAACTGCTGAAATAAAATGCTTTGGGCTGAAAAATTATTACGAAATCTATGTATAAAATAAAAACAAGCAAAAATGTTTGTATTTTTTCAATTCTAACCCTAACGGTACCCTTTCCACCTTCGAAAGCCTAGTAGAATTTGTCCTTGCAACTATTTTCAATAGCTGAAAATGTCTTCTGAAGAATTTCCTATATGCTGATTACGTTTTGAGAGGGTTTGACTACTCCAATTCTGTTAATTTACTTTCATCATTTCACACAGTGGATCAATGAGTCGCACTGTTGCCTCACACCTTCAGGGTTGAGTGTTATGTTCTGCTGCCAGGATTGGCTCCAGCCCCCATGTTGACCTTGTTCTGGATAAATGGTTGGAAGATGAATCTCACACCTGTTGTGCAGGCAGCTGTGAAAAACAATAAAGCACATGCAGGATTTAAAGCACCACAAAGACACTCAAACTAGCTTCAATCATCTATGCAGGATTTAGAAACATGACATCGAGTAAATCAGCAGGTGGAAAAAGAAAATAATTTAAGGATTATTTCATATCTGAGTTCTGAAAGGTTGAGTTCATTTGAGTAGTGTGCTTCTGGCGAAGTTCTGGCTGCAGCTGAACTGGAGGTGGTGTTCTGACATTCAGATCTTCTAGAACATTCTATTGCCATGGATCAGCTCTCAGCCTGAGACGAATTGCAAAGTAGTGCTTTATAAACCTTCCCAGCCCCAGAAAGGATTAACCGTTCTTAGGAAGGGGGTATTAATCAGCACACAGGCTCTGCCTTTGCACAGTAAATGCCCCAAGAACCCTATCAAACATGACTGCCTGAGAACATTTCAAACCCCTACAGACACTGAACTGTTGTAAATTATTTCAAGATTCACATTTCAAGATAAAAAAAAAATCATTTTTCTTCCATTCGTGATTAATAACACTCTTACTGGCAGAAGTGTTCTTCACTTACTTGATAAACTTCATCTGCACAATAACGCTTTTTCAGAGATATCCTGCCTCTGTGGAAAGGGTGAAGCCAATTTTAAACAGAATAAATAAAAGCATTTCATCCACCAAAAATCCAACAGCCGAACCACTGTCACAATCGTAAGCAGAATATATCAATGATACTAAAAACAGAAAGCCTTTACCTTGCCAATGTAAAGGAAAATTAATGTAAAAATATTTTGTCATAAGAAGAAACCAGAAACGGACTCAAAGCAAAAGGATTTTCCAAAAGCTCAGCCAACAACACCAAAAAGGGACAACAGGCGCAGCATATTACCTTGATTGGAACAATGTAATTCTTATTCTTTCTAAAAGGAAATGACACCCATAGGAATTTTGTTTTTTGTCAGAATGTCAGTGCTTTATTTGATCAATATTTCCTCGTTTTTGTGAAACAGACCAATGATTTGTGAAGCGAATTCATTTTGTAAGTTTATACAGTTTTTGGTATATTTGTCGTCATTCCTGAAAGCCTCCATGGTGGTTCTGCATTGAAAGCTCTCACCTTTACTGAGTTATGATATCGCCAGGAGAGTTTTACACATGATCTTGCCTTGCAGCTCGAGGAAATCGACCAATGGTTGCATGTGCAGCAAAGGCCTCCACATGTTTCAGTAATGAGTAGCGTAATGGAACAATATTCAGGGATTCCTTTGTTAAGCAGAGATTTAGACAGAAACCATTATTAAAAAGTTACATTTCTCCGGTGGAAAACAATGGCTGAAGGTCAGCAAAATATATCTAAACTTGTAAATATCATGAGGGTGAAAATCATTAGTTGCTGGCAAAGGGTAACGCTAACAGCTGCAAGAAGGCTTCGCGGCACATGGCAGTAAATGGCATTTCACGCGGCTGATTAGGGGTGGCATTTGGGACAGCTACCTGGAATAACTAGATTGACTTGCAGACAGGGAGCTGCCAGCCTTGGAGTTCATCCAGGGGACATTACGAGCTCAGGCATGGGACGATTACGGGGACTCCGAAAAAACGAACGGATCTGGAGCACGGTGACGCAAAGCGGTCGGGCAAAATCGGCACTGGCAGCCATTGCAGGGCTGGCGCTCTCGCCGTGCGTGATTCGGAAATAGCTAGAGGCATAACTGGTTCCTGACCCCATTCCCATTGTGCAACAGCAACGTAGCGGAGTCCCAAACGGCATGCCTGTGTGCAGCGGTCATCTAGATCCTGCCCTCCACCCTCAGGCAGTTAAAAAATTTAAAAAATGGCACTTAGTCATGTGAGGCAGCCATGATGTTCTCCGTCCGCCAGGGCTCTGAGAGCAGAAGGGGGCTAGCCTCCCTGCTTCCACACTAAACCTCTCGTTTTGCCTGTTCAGCCTATGGGGCCTTGAGCCATGGGCAAGATGGATGAAAATGGGATGAAAGCTGATAGGATCTGGATGAATCAGCATAGTGGTAGCAGATCACAAAAAAATAATGCCTCATTAGCATGATCGGAGACCTCAAGCATAAAATCTATGGTGTGACAAGGACTTTGCAGCTTAAAATGTAATACTTTCAGTAATACCACTGTGGCCAGTAAGACTCAGCTTTTTGTTAGCTAAGTGCATTTGAAAGCATGGTTATCACAAAAAAGGATTTTTGATTGGATAAAACTAGAGTGATGAATCCCTGGAAAATAAAAAGCAGGTAAGGCTCATCTTTTTGCTAGCTACAGTACGTGCATTTGTAGGCATGGTTACCACAAAAAGTGATTTCTGATTGGACAATAGCTAATGGTCACCGCCAAACAAGTTCTGGAAGTCATGGAAAGCAAACAAGAAACAATGAAGGAGAGACAAACAGAGGTCAAGCGAAAAAGGCGTTCTAGAGTTCACCCAAGGCTTGCGATATTTGGTAAGTTGGATGAGCTCAATGTCGTACCTGGCACTGTAGACAGCTGGGGAGGTAGAGGGATTCAGATCATTTGGTTCTACTGGACTCGTGGCTTAAAGCACCGCCAGGCATACAGAAATAGATGAGGTCAGTTCATCTTCTCGGAAATTAGCATTAGCATTTTCCTTTGAGTTGTATGTGAGTGAAACAAAAAAATTGACATGTTCTGTGTCAACCAGATCTGGTGCTGGCCTGGGAGCTGCTTCTGCTGGCTTTGCTGACAAAGATAATTGAGAGTCGGACTGTATGCATAGCCGGGCGACCTAACGCTATGTTGTCAGATAGCATCTCCGCGCTGCAGCATGTTTGCGGCGATAAGGGGAGGCCTCGGCCTCGAGGCCTGTGGGGAGCTCACCTTGACCGTGGAAAGATCGAAGGAGTAATAATTTATTTGCATTAACTGATACATATCAGATTGGCATGACCTAGATAATCAGAGGACATGTCCTCTTAGATTAGCTGTGTCTTTGGGTTTGATGAAAGAGATGCAGTGAAATCTGCATTATCAAAGGCACCAGGTGAGTCAAGGAGCCCTAGCATAGACAGAACCATTGTCAAAAGATAGTAGAATGGCATGAATAAGATGAACGAGTGTCATATTCTGTGCTATAGTGACCGTTCGATTCAGATTATAGCATCACCTCCACAGTATGTGCTGGCTAATCTAAAGAAGGATGTTATTTGAACCAAGAGGAATCATAATGGTCCCCACTGCGATCCCTTGCGTTTCCATCCACCTGAAAGGAGCTGTCTATACACTGTACATGTCTGCTTATGTCTTGATGTGGGTAAACACAAAGCCGTCAGTCATGCATCCATTTTCCATACCTGCATGTCTCTTGCAGGGTTGCGGGGATCCAAAGCCTAGAATCTACTGGCACAGAATAACCAAGTACAGGGTGCCAGCCATAAGGCCTTTAGACAATAGTAAATATACAAGATAAAGGAGTTTTGTTTCTTGAAATTATGTTTGCAGTGATCTTTCCACTGTACAGTGTTGGCGTCTTACTTGTGTCGATTAAGAACTTAAGTACATGAAGAAGATGTAACATTAAAGAAAGCATCTAGCACGATGCCTTAGAGCAGTTTTCCAACATTTTGTCTGCCACGGCACACCTGTCTTAAGGTAATTATCCCAGGGCACACCATTGATTAACACATACTACTAATTAGCAATACCATGTATCACATAGCTCTTAACCTGTTGGTTCAAGATCAAGTATGTTTTCTAGATTTTCCTTTGAAAATATTTCCATTTCAAATATTTGTCCATGGTCTTGTCTTTTTACTACAGGGCAGTTTGCAAATTGTCGAACATAACATTCCAACTGTAGGGCGATCTTATTCTCAGCCTCATTTGATTAAAAGACAAGCATCCTTATAACCTATTGGGCATAAATGAATAAAAATTCACTAATACACATTGGTTCGTGGCACATTGGCTGAAAAGGCTGCCTTATAGTAATAACCATTTACCTCGGAAGTCAGAAGTAGCAGCTGGGAATGACGTCACACCTGTTAATTGCATTCCAGGACAAGTCAGAAAATCATTTAACAATACCAGGAACCTGTTTGAAAAAGGAGGATTTCTTGCCTAGCCAAATAACTTGTCACATTTAAGGTACCCCATTTTAAATGGCTTTTATCTTTCTTCACTTACATTTTTCCCAGACTTAAATCTGACAAGTTATCCAGCAAAGCAAGAAATCTTGCTTCCCCAAACAGGCCCTAGTTCTCGCCTGTTTAATTGTTAGCCATTGTTGGCAATACCAGTTGACAACAATGCATTTCGCAGGATTTGGCAAATATAAACACCGTAGCAACATGTGCACAGATGGACAGCACTGTGTGTATGACCGATTTAATGAGACACAAATAATAGATAAATGCTAACAGTATACAACTACAGGTTTCACATCTGTTCATGAAGGGCACACCCATCTTGAATTCTGAGGTAGGGATTTCAGAGGTCCCTCTGACATTCCGAGTCAGAATTCCAACTTCAGGGGGTGTTCCAGTTGAAATTTCTAACTAGAAACTCGGAAATTCTGACTTCCCAGTTCAAATTAAATGCAGCAGTAACAATGCTCCACCTCCACATGGGGTGGAGTTTGCATGATCTCCTTGTGTCATCGTGGGGTTTCCTCCGGGTACTCCGGTTTCCACCCACAGTCCAAGAACATGCTGAGGCTGATTGGAGTTTCCAACTTCCCCATAGGTGTGCGTGTGTGAGTGAATGGTATGCGAGTGTGCACTGTGATGGGTTGGCACCCCATCCTGGGTTGTTCCCTGCCTTGTGTCCATAGCTTCTGGGATAGGCTCCGGACCCCCCACAACCCTGAATGGGACAAGTGATTTCAGAGAATGGATGGATGGATGGACAATGCTCCAACCACATCCATTTCATGATGTCATGAGAAAATGTAATACTTGGAGCTGGCTATTTTGGATGAAAATTCCAACCAGTGCTTCTAAATCAGTGGTTATATTTTGGTCTTCTGCTTCTGCAGCTCTACACCAGTGTGCTATGCTGGTATTTTCTCATCATCACCAGTTACAGCTGGAAAAGTAAGGTAACTGCTCCACCCCTTCTCCCGATGTTCTCCCCAGGCTTCAGTGCTAATATAGTGTTTCTCAACCCGGTCCTTGGGGACCTCCAAACGGTCCACATTTTTGCTCCCTCTCAGCTCCCAGAGCAGAAATTTGCACTGTCTGGAGGTCCCTGAGGACCAGGTTGAGAAACACTGGTCTAATGAGTGCCGCCATCCATCTGTGTGGGCGGCACCAAAATTTCTGCCCTTTTCTGCCGCGGCCACTGGGCTTGGCATGTGCGTGAGACTGACTGCAGGCGATGAAGTGCCCTGTTCTCATGAGACGACTCAGTACCGATCATTTTTGGTAGGTGAGGTTAAAATCAAAACATCACTCGTCAGGGTTCAGTGGTCATGTGCTTAAATGATCTCATACAGCATTTATAAGGGCATTTTCACAGAATTATTTAAGGTGCTGTTAACTTATATTTTGCCAAACAAAATCTTTAAATAGACAAATTAATTTACAGGGACCAGTATATATTAGAAAAGATTATAAGATTATATATCATCATAAAAGGTTTAACATGAGCCATAATAAAGTAAAACAGTTTATTGGCTTCTTATTCTATTTAGCTTCCGTTTAGGGTTCGAGAATTAAATTATGAATTATATTCAGCGAGATGCCGCAATGCGGCTCAAACCTCAGCTATGACTCGAGGAAAAGTAGGGGATAGTTCGGCAGTCGGTCCCTGTGTTGTGAGCCCAGATAAAAACATGGAGTCAGTATTTTAAGATATGCATGACATCATGGTCCACTTTTGGTGCATTATGTCATCGCCGTCCAGACGCATCGCCCAGGATGGGAGCAGCAGGGGAGAAGCAGCATTTCTGCAGCGAAACCCTCTGCGGATTCCTGGCTCTCACAGGCGTGGAACTTGAAACTTTGGTACAATCTTTTTTTTTTTTTTTCAAAGCGTCATCAGCCAGCACCCTTTACGGGTGGGTGTTTCACAGCAATCAGGCTGGAATTTGTCTTTCATCTGAATCATGCCTTTCAGTTCACAAAAAAAAAAACATTTATTCTGTGAATGAATTACGTTCCCAAGCTGAAGCAAATCTCGTTCTGCTAATCAGTGCCGAAAATGTGTCACCGCCAGCCCCCAATACATTCACACAATAGCTGGAGTCTCTCTAGAAAAGGGTAAATTAAATGTCACGGAAACGCATAGTCATATTTCATTTAATGTGGTTAAAACATTGTGCAGAAATTAAAAGCAATGAAGTAGCTGTTTGAAGCCCCCTGATGAGCATCTGATATCTGGGAGTGCAGGCCTGGGGCCTTCTCTTCCATGTCTCGTACCCTTGAGCGAAGTATTTTTTACTCTGTTGCTGCAGGAGGAATCATTATTGGGTTACCGATTATGCTCAATTGTATATCACGACTGTCACAGTGGATAAGGCCATCTGTTAAGCAAATCAATTTATGTAATGTAATTCTCATAATGCAATGTAACGTGAAGGTTATCCGGTTGTTGTCTCCAAATTTTGTCTTGCAGGATGTTCGTACCCACTGCAGATTTTCTAAAGACCGAACCGCCTTTCTTCGGCAGCTAGCTGGCGCTGTTTGAGGATGGCAGACATATCTGTGTTTCTCAGAGACGGCTGCCAAACTGCACCCTGTGTGATAAAGGCTCAGTGGATGCTACCATATCGCTAATTCAAATATCAATGCATCACACTTTCTCTTTCGATCTTATCCATCTTCTCTATGGAATCTAATGACTCATTAACGCTGATGGCTCTGTTTTATACTGCATACAATAACTTTCCTTAAAATGGTCGTAAATTGGCCTAGTCTCTATTAAGATTGCATGCTTCGTGCTCATGTTTGACATGTGAGGCTCTACCGGGTTTAATAACGTAATCAAGTTATTTATGTACTCATCCATTTCTCTTCCTTCTCTTGTCCCTTAATCAAATTTTAACATACGACTGCATCTGTGTGATCTGTGTTTTTTTTCCAAGGGAAATAATAGCAATAAAATCAATAAATCTGATGAGATCTGGTGCAATTAACTAAATGAGTTGTGTTACTACTGCCTGCCCAACGCTGGGAAATGCATTAATGGGGTTACTGTGCTTTGTCAGTGAGTAACGACTTTGCTGTCTACTGCACGTATGTTATAGATTTCTGGCACATTATCACTCATAATCAGTGGTTATAATTCTTTGATTCTGGCGTGTAATTAATGCCATTCACTGGGGATGGATTAGCAATCTTCGCCAGTCTGCTAGGAATGCTGCCGCTACTCCCTCCATTTGCAGTAATTACATTCTGCCTAAATTATGTTGTACTATGTAAAGGAAAAAAAACAGCTGGAGAATCTGGGCATATTTTCAAGATCCCCTAGTCCACATGCAGCACACGTGCAACGTCTCTTCTGAGTTGAGCTTTTGCTGAAATGATCCTGAAATTCTAACACTGACTGGTGTTAGAACCTTAGCATTAGCTAAATGCTCACAGCTGTAGCTGAAGTCTGGATGGTCGTCCTGAATGTGGCTTAGGTTTCACAGATGTTTCATAGGCACATTGACGTACAACCAGCACATGACCCGATATACCAGTGAGAGTCAGGAGAAAACCCCTTTTCATTTAAAAGGTAATAAAAACTGAAACAACCACTTTTGTTAGTGTTCTATATTCCTTAAAGCCCCCCCCCCCCCCCCAAAAAAAAATAGGTTTAACAACACCCCCACTCATACACCACAATCTCATTCCCATACATGATGCTCATCATTGATTTTTGCACTTTATGTATATTACTTATCTTGTATATAATCTATTTATTGTTTGTATATTGTGTCTTGTCTATAAATTATATGCACATGTCTTTATATTGTCTGTATAGCTTGGATTGCCAGCTTTGGTCAGCTCAACCAAAAAATTCTGAACAGCTAGACTTCATGAGACCCTCACTTCAGTGTACAGTAAGTCACCGTAAAAGGCTGCAAGCAATTTTTCGAGAGGGATCCCAGGGCAGAGATCCACATCTCCATAATTTGCAGTTTCACTATAGGAACCAATCAAATTTCACAATATTGCATGGCTGTCTCCTTTCAACTTTCAATGCACACACACACCATGTCACCAATGGAAAATTTGTTCTCAAACAGAAAATTTGCTGTCAAAATAAAAACGACCAGAAGTATTTTGCTATTAAGCATGCAAATTTTGTTTTGACAGAAATATAACCTATGGAGATGATATTTTTTTAAACCATATTATTAATGTTATGATCAATAATACAGAACCATACCTAAGAAGCAATGAAAAATAGAGAGACACCATTGGCTGGAATCAAATGGCCCAATAAATCTGATTCTGGTTCTGATTAGCAAGTCATATCTAGCCAAATGGAGAAAAGGACACATCTCATTGTCAAACCAAGTTTTATTGTGTTGCCAAATGTAACAATGGTAGCTACTATAAGTCAGCAAAATTATACAAATATATATGTTTGCACATAGCAAACATTCTGCCATTATTTTAACTACAATATGGGAAGACAATGCCTAGAGTTTATAGATAGTGATCAAAATACAAAACTGTAACACTGACCTGTAAGTTCAACACTGGAATCTCTTCCTCTGTGGTGCATTCTGGGATTGACATGACATTGCCCTTTCTGAATGTTCTCCAGCTCAAGGGTACAGAATAATGAAATACACTCGTACGATAAGATCTAGCATAAAGGTGTTGCTTTTTCCCAAGCCAGTCGAATCTCAAAATAAGATAGCATCTTATAATGGAATGTACTGATCACACGGACAGGCTTGAGCAAGATAACCTAAACCAAGGCCTGCGTGCAACTATGGACTATTAAAGTACAGCCAATTCAAATATTACGCAGACAGACTTTGGAACAGATCAGGAGAAATTGTTGGTGATGTCAGTCCAGCGAGAGCATTCTGGGTTGAGCCCTGACCTTCGACATCCTATCATTCCAGCTGCGGAAAAAAATGCCAGTGTGGCTGATGAAAAAATGCATCAAACAACATTTAAATCATCTAGATACAATAAAAAAACAACACAGAACTAGGTCAATGCCGATAGAAATGGAATGTAGTTATTGGAGAGATATTAGTGGGAACACTTAGTTCCTAAAACCTACTTAAATTATGAAATATCAACAGTTTTAAAATCCTAGCAATCTCAAATACAGTGGAAACGACGTGGCAAATCACCATTGGCCTGTACCTCCATACATCTTCCAAACGATACGAAAGACTGAGATGCCTAAAAAGAGAGACCATGTAAAGTATACAGCAGCACACATCCTCTGGCAGCAGAGGTACCCAACTACCACAGTGCAGTAAAATTTCCATTATGTACACATCTCAGCTGACCACATTTAAAATGACTGTCATGTGGCATTGGTGGGAATCATTACCCATGAAGGGCGACTGTGTGGGACATTGCTGGACTCTCAGGGAGTCATTTTCATTTGAAGTGTTTCAGTAGGTCTGACCTCCAGAAAAAACTACAATGGTACCCAATCCCTACTCAAAAACCGAGTCATTTCCTTTGTGAGATGTGTAACAATAGTCGGGTGCTCACACGGACAGGATTGTGTGGATGTGTAACAGACTAGTCAGGTGCCAATTATTCATTTTAAAAGAATAATGAGTGACAGTTATTTTCGAGCTTGGTATTCAAAAAACTACTCAAACAACCAAAAACAAATATTATCCGATATAAACACTTGTAGTAGCGAGCTTAGGAGCAAACAATGCATTACAGGTTATCAACCGTCATCTATTTTAAAATCAGCAAACTTCGTTTGAGCACATCTGTAGGGTAGCGTTGTTTTCCAAACTTAATTTTCAGTCAATAAGTTATAATAACGATCACGAGCGATGTATTGGTTAAATGAATGTGCAGTGATTCGTTAAAACATCGATTGCTGAAACATTAGAAAAAGAATTAAACAATATTTAGAATGAAATTGCATTATAGGCTTTTAATGTCCACTGGGAGTGTATATCGGGGCATGGAGTTAAGTTTAGGCCATAAATGAAAACTCCTGTGTGTCCGGCAAATCCTGAGAATCGCCCGGAGTATGTAATAATTCAGCCAAGACCTAATCCCAAATTATTTATGGAAAGTACCTTCCACCCCCTAGACCATCATCTTGAACTTGTTTCTGATTACTCAATGCAAGCTCAGCCTTGCAGCAAGTTCCTTCTCGACAGATGTACATTTGAGATGCAACAGTCTAAGTTTAGTCGCTTTGGATAACAGCGTATGCCATTTAATAAATGTAAATGTAAAAATGTCATCTATTTTGTTAAACCTTACTTTAGATTAATCTATGATTAATAACACAAACAAAGTTATGGTAAAGTAATTATTTGTCCCCATCAATTTATTTGTTTGTTTTTCATATATATTTATATATTTTTATATTCTACAACTAAATGCCTTTCATATGGGCATCATGAATGAATAGGCCTGTTTAATTCTGTCATGATCGCCGGGGAAGCAGGACATAAGCCGTGGAATCGGGTAATGTGGGATTTATTCGGGTTGAACACACTCGGAGACATGAAACGACGCCACACAACGTTAATGACCGGACTGGGGAAACATACTCGAACACGAACTTAAATACACAGGACTAATTAACAACAACGAGAAACAGCTGGTAACACGGGGATTCCACATGAGGTAGCGTGGCACATGGGAGGATCGGACGAGCAGGGCATGACAAATTCTGGGATTAAGAAATGCATACGATTGCAGTTATTTTTATGTTCTAATCTTTTAGAATCTTTCTAAGATGTTATGGATGGAGTGGTGGCTCTGAGGCTAGAGATCTGTGCCAGCAACTGGAAGGTTGCTGGTTTAAATCCTGTAAATGTCTGGAGTGATTCTACCCCATTGGGCCCTTGAACAAGGCCCTTAACCTGCATGCAATTGCTTTGTCCTGGGTATGATGTTAATCTACATCCAGCCCTATAAGGAGGTCCTCCAACTTACAGGAAAAAACTTGGGGGTTGGTGGCAGGATTGGCACTCCAGCAACTGGAAAAAAAAACTCACACTGGTCCATTTGGATAAAATTTCAACAGAACGTGTTTTATTTAATAAAAAAGCACAGGGTTTGTGACGTGCAAAAGCTATTTTCACTTTGCAGGAAGGCGATTCTTGCATGCCTCAGTCAGGCTGTTAAAATCGTCCCTAAGTCTTCTTCATGGAGAAGAAAGTCACATGACAGACGCTCCGCTCAGTGATTTAATAGCGCCAGTATGTGGACCGAGTGCTGCCACGGTTCTGAAGGTGCAGGGCAGCACTGATATGCCCACCGATTACTGGAAACGCAAACAGGTGGGATGACAATCGAGCGTCTGACACGTGATCAGGCCTTAGACTACAAATACAGTTTCATGCCTTTAAATTATCAGAAGGCTAAAGAACCCTGGTATCGAATTTACTATCTTAACATCACGTGATTGACATTTAAAGAAATTTAAACTTCACTTCCGTGAAACCATGATTTCCATGAAGTATCCCGATGAATATATCTTTACCCATTTTTAAGAGACCACATTATTATTATTTTTTAATTTTTTAAAGGAAGGCTTGTTCCTCAGTTTTGCATGTCTTCTCGTTTAGGATTATTGTTACATGGCCCCACCTCGTGGAAATCGTTTGGGGTCAAACAGCGAGCGCAGATTAATGCTAATAATTTAAGAATTATCGCAGATTTTTTAAGTATGTTGAGAAACACTATATCAGATTTTTACATGCAAGGTTTTATGTGGTTCTGCCGTACATTAATAATGGAAAGGGGAATTAGATGACCTAGGTCTTTTAATTCACACTTTAGCACTTAGAGTCATTTCTAGGACATATTTTCTTTTTAACGCGCACTGAGCATCTTCGTGAATATCCTGTGATGTCCCATCTTATTTATGATTATATAAATAAACGGCATATTATGCTTGCCGATACTGATGAACGTTACACTTCGACCTGGAAAAACCACACCTCCTCC